ACCCAAATGAAGCACAACGCGTAATATAGCAAAACATGATATTAATCGGTATAAATAACGAATCAGAAGGAAGATTAGAAAATGGATGACCATAAGGACTCTTTGGGGAGACGGTTAATTCTTTTAAATAATACCACACGCGAAGATTAAGCTGATATTCTTTAATTTTGATCGAATTAAAATAAAAAATTCTTAAAAGCTAAACTGCTGCTATGAAAAAATCGTGTCTAACACATTTGTTATATGTATTATTCATATTGTATATTATCTTATATATTATCTGATGTTGTATATTACTTAGCTTTCAATAAGTAAATGGAGGAAATATTGCAATATTAGGAAATATTAAATATATATTGAATATTATAAACTGAATTACAGATAAAATTGCATAAATGTTACTCGTAAGTTACCGGTTAGTATTCATAATTTATAATTGTAACAAACAATACTTATATTATATCGTTATATTCTAGACAACAGAATAAGACTAAAAAATATTTAAAAATGTTGATAAGATGATAAGACATCTGAAAAATAATACGTTTGAATGTTGTTTTATAGACATATTTTAAAGATAGGTATACTGTTTGGGATTGTAGTTAAATATAAAACTAATTATAGATCTCAAACGCGTAATCAAATAAATAATAAAATAAATTATATTTAATTCGTAAAACTCGAGATTTAATTTATATAAAAATTAAATTCCAATTTTTAGTCTAAATAAACAATAAATGAACAATTTCCCATTTATTCGCTAAATTTTTAAACAATCCGTATAATATTTTAAATTTCTTGTGAAGATTGCATAAATAAATTTAAAATTATTAAAATTTAAATTATAAAATTATTTAAAAAATTATAAAAAAATTCAAATTATAAAATTATTAGTTATTATTAACACATGTAAACAATTTGTTTAATATTCTGAATTTATTTTTTATTGAAATTGTATAAAATTTTATTTATACAAGACTTTATTATCGAAAAGAACATTTATAATATATTTATTAAATACAGATGTATTATATTTAACTATTATGAACAGTTTTTGCTATATATCTGTGTGCATATAAATTTATTAATATATTACCATTTTAGTCTTAATCATTCTATCAATATCTATTAATATTTATCGATATATAGCAATCGAAAATATTAACGAACAAGATTCTTGTGAGGTTCATCTGCTAGTAACGCTTCTGTCGCAGTTAATTATTGCCGATATCCCACTTGTCAACATTCCAGCAAACAGGTTATCCGTATAAAATGCTAATGAACGCTGGTAAACCATAGTTCTTTAGAATCACATCGTCGACATGATTTGACATCAATTTTGCCAAATATAATCAAAGATAGAAGAAACCATTTTGTAATTTTGTAATTACATTGTATATATACTGTATACATATGTATGAAACGATTCTTTCGCGATAAAATATATACATTGGTACAGCAATAATTGTTATATATTATACAAAAATATTTATGGAGTCTAAAGTTATTGCTAGAGAGCGAAATCAAACAAAGAACTTCATCTTTTCTTATCTATAATTCATAAATATAGGTTATTTTATAAAGAACTAACATTTGTATATTTTTTATTTTATTAATTTTAAAAAATAATTTTAATAGATTAGTAAAATTTTGCGATAAACACATTTTCGGATAAATTTAAATTACACATAATAAAATATATTATTATGTATTCAACTGAAAGTTATTTGAATAATGTCAAAAATTACATAAAAATATAATAATTTTAATTTGTGTAAATAAGTTAGACAAATAAGTATAGCAACAAAAAGTAAATTTCAAAGTTTCCATGCTCGAAAGACAAGGAAATTCTAAAAAAAATTTTTTCGTATAAGCAGTATTTATTATATTATCAATTACAAATTATACCATAAACACATATGTCTCATATAAATAAAAGACAAATTAATATATTATCAAAATATTTCTGACTAAAAACTAACACTTTTTCATTTAGAAAAAATTGCAAAAATATATTGTTTTCAAGATGTCTCGTTTTTAATACATGGTGTGATAAAAAAATATCCAGATGAATATTGATTAAAAAATATCATTTTTTGTATCTTTTGCAAAGAAACTTGACATGATGGATCAGTTAATGGATTCAGTTTTAACACACCAAAATTCTTCCGAATAATAATGTTTAGTTCGAGATAGTGTGAATGAGATCTTTATCAACTTGTGTAATTATAAGTAACTGAGCACATATTTTAATGTATTTTTCGTTTAACTTTAAACTAAGTTTTAGAAACACCCTATATATAGTGTTTCAAAATGACTTTTACGAATCTGAAAAGACAATAGATAGAAAATGTAATAGATTTTTCTTTATACATCAAATATTGTATATATCAAATATTTAATTATTTTTTAATTAAGATAAAAACCAACAAAGAGTAACCCCAAAATTAGCCCGTTTACTGGACTTCGAATTTCGAGTAAAATTGTGTTCTAATTTGAAGTATATGATGTCATATTATTTTAGAAAAATTTCAAGTTGAGTCCGCTTCTCAATCTTAAGGAATGAGAAGTCAAAGTAGGGTAAAAAATGATTGAAAACGAGTGTCAGCGGATGTATCGGACTTAATTAAAAGATGTAGCCATTTTGCGACGAAGGATTTATTTGTATAATATCCATGAAAAAAGGACATTTATGTATACACGTATATATTCATGGGAAGGGTACTCTATAAACATATTCACCACAATAATATTTCAGAACAACATGTCTGTGATGTATATATCCGCAATATAATATTGTATGATGTATGGAGTTTCAAGGTTATTTCAAGGTCAAAATCAATTATTGCCAGAAAAATTCTTCTCTTTTGACTGAAAGTGGGGGGAAGGGGAGATGATTATAAAAAAGAAATGGGAGGAGAGAAATGTTGAGATTTGAGGATATATTCACGGGGTAATAAATCGCCGTATAGGTAACTTAAATGCGAAATTTAAGGCAAAATGGATACACCTTTTAATAAGGAGGGTGGTTGCTGTCATTGCGGAGCAGGCGACAAGAGGGGAAATCTCGTGTCTGTTCGCATTGCTTGCACTTTTTGTACTTTTAATCCTTTGTCTTTTTCTCTCCAATGTCCAATGTATATTTATCTCTCTTTAAAGTGCAGAAAGTGCAAAAGCCATGTTTCTACACGAGCGCTTGTAACAGCTACCAACTCCAAATAATCAAATTTTTGTCGTGTAAATAAATGAGTTTCAGCAAATGAATATGTGGAATACATTTAATTAGCTATTTTATAAGATTTTAAATCATGTTTTATACAATTAAAATCCAAATACGTCAGTATTTAACTCACGTTGCCATTTGTCGAAGCGTCCACGATAGTTTTACGCAAAACAGTTACAATATGCTGTTTTATTTATACAATTTCTTGATAACTATGTAGACAAATGATTTCAATTTTCGTCAAAGTCCTTCGTAAATGTATAACGAAATAATTGTATCTATTTTCATTACATTCTTATCATTTTTAACTTGCTTTTGAGAGTTAAATTACAGGTGACATAACCTTTTTACTATGTCGCTCGTGTGTAAGAAAAGTAGAGAAGTATAACTTTAATGATTAATTACTCGACCACCGTGCAGACAATTGCCTTCATCTTCGGCATGAACGACAGATTCTCATAGACGAATATCCCCCACAAATTGAACTAATTCTTATTATTTTGACTTGAGCAACCACTCTCCTTGTCGCCCGTGTGTAAAAGAGAAAGAGAAGTATAACTTTAATAATTAATTACATGACAACCGTGCAGACAATTGCCTTCATCTTTGGCATAAACGACAGATTCTTATAGACGAATATCCTCTATAAATTTCAACTAATTCTTATTATTTTGACTTGAGTAACCACCCTCCTTAAGCGATACACCCGCAGACACCCGTTTTTCAATCATTTTTACCTTACTTTGACTTCTCATTCCTTAAGATTCAGACGGACTCAACTTGAAATTTTCTAAGAGTAATATGACATCATATACTTCAAATTAAAAACACAATTTGACTCAAAATTCGAGGTCCAGTAAACGGGCTAAAATTTGGCCTCTTTTAGGGTCACTTTATTTAATTATGCTATATTTTATTTTTTTATGCTAAACTCATGTTAAATTTAAATTTAAATGAAATAAAATAAATAATGGAGAGCGATCTAATATCATAGTTATAAATTCTAATTCTATAATTATAAATTCTATGTAAACAATATTGATAAATTTTGATATCAAAGTGTACTGTTTTTCTTAAATCTAAAATTAAATGAGCAATAATTGAATTTTTAAACTATGTTATTTGTAACGAAAACTGAAATAATTGGAATTTTTTGTATTTCAATATTTCTAGTGATGCTAAAGAGCAAACAAATTAGAAATAATGTTATAAGATATCTATTAAATATGCGATAATAAAAAATAATTAATTAATTAATTGATTATAAATATGATAGTCATTAATAAACTATTTACTAATAGAAACATATACATAGATAAAAATGAATCTATTGAAACTAAATGCTACTTGATAAAATTAACTTAAAATTAAAACAACTTTTAAATTAATTTTTAAATAAACAACTTTTAAACAAAATTTTCAATAATTAAATATAATTTCTCATTTTTCTCTATCTTATATTACACAATGTCTGTGCCATTTGTTTATTGAAAGTTAAAATAATGATCAAGACAAATAATATGAGTATATGTAACAATTATATTATATTAAATTGCGTGTTAATAAATATATTTGTTAAATGTACTATAATTAATGAAATTCTGCTCTATCACTTTAGATACATTATTACTAAACTTTGAAACAATTCGATCTGGATGCAGCTTAATCTTCTTTGTGTTTGTATAGCAGCTTGAGTAGCCTTGAAAATTAAGTTGCCTTGAAAATCATTTCCGCCTTGGCTCATTTTTAATATGAAAGGGATATATATTGCTTGTAGACATAAGAATCGTGTGTCCTATCAAGACCTGCAGCCAGCTCTCAACGAACTCCCAATGCTCAGGTAAAGTGCGAAATTACATCGTAAGAACAGCCAAGAACAATAAGAAAAACTGAAGAAATTAAAACGAGTTGAGGAGAAATATCATCTTTGACTCGCTAGTTCTTTTTATTTATAAAATTCATAGAAGGAAACACGTACATATTGCGAGTAAGAGAGCGAATAAAAGGAATTAAATTAGATTCATTTTTATTAATTAGATTAATTAGATTAATTATTCTTCTATGCATCATACTTTTTTTATCAAATCGAAAAATATACAGAAATTTAATTGTATATAGTGTTTCTTAGAGCTAAATTTTATAATAGCTTTTTTTATCGCAACGTGTTTTCCTCTCTTCAAAAAGCGCCATTTTTATTACGTGCAATTCGCATATAATATAATCTCTAGTTATAGTTAATATAATGATGTTTATGACATATAGTATCAAGTAGTGATTATTAAGCATACAATTAACAATCGATCTTGCGAAAATTTGTTATTTTTCAATTTCGAAGAAACTTTCCGATTAACTACTTATTATATTGCATCTATGAAAGGCAATAATTACAAATATTTTGGGATATTTAAAACATTTCTGATCAGTATAATTTTAATTTGGTTTAATTTTAATTACAAAAAGTCTAAATACTTATCGATGTTCAAAGTTTGCGATACTCTTTCATTACATGATACTCCAATCCTAATTATTGTCGTATAATGGTAATGTACATAATTGCGAAGAATACTTAATACAATCGTAAACATATCTTAAAGACTGATCGATCATTAGGTTTGTAATCGAATATCCCAGGTGTGCAATGAAGTTTAATTAGTTGAAGCAAAGAAAAGACAGATATATAGTAGCGTAGGAAAGCTGACGGTTGTGATAGTGGTAGTGGTACTATAATGCCAAAGTGACATTTTTCAATTCATTTAAACTATGAAATTATGCACGAATTTATTGTTGCTACCTTACGCACATAATCCGCCTAGAAATCATGCTCTTGATATAATCTAAACGATCATTTTTTAATTACAATTTAATTACAATCGTGTTTAAATATAACTTAGCATTATATTTTTTAAAATAATTAAAGCATATATACTGATATATAATTTTCTTTAGTTTTAATGCATTTCGATCTTCGAATTTCACCAAGAAATGTATCAATTAATCTAATAGATACGTAGAAGATACACAGAATACAATTCGATAATCAAAGATACGGAATAATGAAATGTATTATTTCGCGATCCAGACGCTCTTGAAATCGATCTTCTCGCAAAACTTTGGTCCAAAGGGAATGATCACAATTTCCGTGTGCACAATTGCTGAGTTATGACGTAAGTAATAGTGACAAACGCGCCATGGCCGTTGAATTAAAGTACAGTACAGTAATAAATATATAAATCTGCCATGATAATATGATCTGTGTATGACCTATACATATACCATATATAGAAGAGAACAGCTCTCAATTGCGATAATTTGATAATTGATTGATAATGTTGAAAAAGGGTTCCTTATTTAAATGTCTAATATATCATATAATTAAAGAACAATAACTTATAATAAATAAAGAATGATAAAAAGCTATCTTACTTAAGGGAATCCTGAATGTTCTTGAAAAGTCTCTCGTTTCAGTCCTGTTTTATCGACAAAATGTGAGGTTAGATAAACTATAAATTTATTTATTGGTTATATGGATTGTTTTTTACCTGAAATTAAAGCGTTTCGCAATTTATTAATATTAATACTTTAATTTGTACAGGAAAAAGATTTATTAATCTGTATAGTCTTATATATATATATAACCTACATACCATATATATATATATATATATATATATATATATATGTAGGTTATAGAATTATAAAGAAAAAGAATTCATTTTTAACCTCACATTTTGTCAATAAAACAAGACTGAAACCATGACTTCTCAAAAACGTTTAAAATCCCCTTAATGGTTATTGAAATAGTTACTTTTAACATAATTCAACGACCAATTTGTTCATTTATAAAGATAATTCAGACGCATGTCTCCGTCGAGTTTATGCGCCATACAAAAAACATTCTGATAAAGAATGTGATTGAAATATCAGGCATAAGATATGCGTCGATGAATGTACAAGCAAATGCGCCATCTAGCGAGTGAAATGAGACAATGTAACCGAATAAAGAAAAATGATCGTGGAGAAATGGAAGTCACGCGCTATATTCAGTCGCCAATTTGACAGATCTTATACTCAATTAAAATGAAAAAAGTGATTACTGAATTAGACATGATTGCGTAGCCAAAAATCATTGAATATCAATATTAGCAAAATGAAAAAGAATCGCTTGAATTAATAAGTGACTTTAAGTTTTATGTATTTCGCTTTTATATACATTAGAGACACGAGAACAAATTTTTTTATTTCTATGTACAACTCTTTCACTTAATTATAAAGAATTTTTTTTAAACTTAATATCAATTACTTAATACAAATAATTTTTAAAGATTTTCCTGTTTAATATATTTTGGACAATAGTAAAGGTTGAATGTATAATTAATTATTTATATTTAATTATACAATAGTTTTATTTTATATATAATATCACTGACGAGGTACTGTTAAAGACCGTTGGCCCTGGGTAAATTTCTCGTCTCTATCAAGTGGGCCCGGTGGGCCTGGCATCGATCGATAATTATGACAATAAATAACTAATAACATTTTATTTGTTGTACTATATTGTAAATTATAATTATATTAAGTTTATATTTAACATAACTAATAATTAAATATACAGGGTGTCCCCGACCACCCGTACACCCCTTGTATCTCGGAAACAGAGCATTTTAGAGAAAAATGGTTGAAGGGGTTGAAAAATGGATCGAAGAGGACTATAAGATGGTGGCAATGATTTGACCTTGAATGGTCCTTTGAAGGTCACGTGAAGGTCACCGTCAATTTTTTAATCATTAACCTCCATTTTTTATTTGATATTTTTGTAGCTTATCTCAAGAGCTTTCCAAAACACTATAATTAAATGTTTTTTCGTAAAATACTTTTCGAGTTATAAAGCTCCAAAGTTGCAAAATTTTGATAAAAATACAAAATATCTTGTGGAACATTCAGTTTTTGGCAATCTTACTTTATTACTTTAATATACAGAATAATAAAATTAATCAATAGGTGTTATGAAAACACAATATTCTTAAAGAAAAATTGTGCAACCTCTGGGGTGTACGAGTGACATTCTGTATATATAAGTATTTATATCCTTTTCTTAAAAATATCCTTTTCTTAAAAGTGCATGTTAAGTCGATTACTCGAATATATCGAAATGTTGAAGCCTCTTTATTTGCGATCTTATTGGATGCTGGCGCGTTGCGATATATTCGTGGTTAAGGTAGGTGTGTAGCATTCGAGCGCCTCGTAATGTAAAAATGATATGTTCTATTATGTACATAATTTGAATTCCTAAATTTCTATTGTGTACATCATTTTAATTTGATGAATTAAAATTAGTATATAATAGAAATTCGAGAATTAAAGTTATTTACATAATTGAAATTAAAATTATGTACCCTTGCGGAGAAAAAGTTTTATTTAGCACACACGAAGCGTGCGCTTGTGTTATCTAGTTATATATAAAATAGGAATTTGATACAAACTCCCGTAAGATCGTCGGTCTTTAATAGTACCTCGTCAGTGATAATATGTAATATTTTGTATAATATAATATTACAAAGTGTCAAGCACATATGACTTTTGCGCCAATTGTCATAAATTGAGATTTTATTCAAATGTCTAATTCTTTCGAGATCTCCCTTGACTTTAATTGGCGACTGAAAAGGCGAAACTGTTTATCCTCTAGAATAGATTTTATGGGGATTCTTTGATCGATCTTTGACAATAAGGATAAGAGATCGGCTCGCGGTTGCATCCGATATTGCTGGAAACTAATTCACGCGAGTCTGGCTCATCGCTCCTCAGCACAACCGAGGGCTACAATGGTGTAGAATTAATTTAGAGTTGACAAAAAAATGCATGCAAATGTTTGTATCGTAAAATGTGTCGGTATGAGCCCAATAACCAACTGGGCGCCTTGACGCGAATTGATTGATTCATTGATCTATTAACGATTCCAGCGCGCCGACAGGAAATCATCAAGATGACTGAACAATTGATTGAGAGCATCAACACCGGGGATTTCGAAGCGTACACGTAAGTAATGACATATTTGTTAACTTTTTAAGAAGAAAAATAAAAAAAGACATTTTGTCAAGTTGCAAAATAATGTAAAAAAGGAGGGTATTAAAAAAGTGTCGATTTTTGCCCTCAAGTGCAAAGTGAATAGAATTGAAAAATCATTATTTGGATCCCCAGGTAAGAGGAAATGACAATTATTTGTCCGAGGAATGGTGAGAACATTGCTAGAATGGCTTAAGGGGATCCCTCACGATTTCTGTTTTATCGACGCAGTCATATATTTTCGTATTTCTAGTATATCTTTTTTCAAATTTGATATTATTAAAAATGCTTCTCTACGATTGCAATACATACATCAATAATCCCAGGGAAAATCGATTTGATATAAAAAAAGAGAAATAACAGTTTTTCTTATTTATTTTCATCTCGATTTGACATCTCGAACTGCAGACGAACTGTCAACCTCATCATATAAAACATATGCACTTTGTACGAATAAAAATACACATTCTCTGGAATTAGAGGACATGAAACAAAGCACTCTTATTCTCTAAACTTAGATTAGAAGTCTAATAAAAATTTGTAATTAGAAATACGATTTATACGTATGTGTGCGTGCGTTGTGTATACGTGCATATGCTTTGAATATATGTGCTGCTATTTTGTCGGTGTTCGTCATTTGCTGAGGGATCCCCTTAAATGTAGTAAAAAATAATATTTCCATAAACAGTTAATAATTTGAAAACCATAATTCTAGTCAGAGTTGTGAGTACATTTTGCATGTAAAGATCATGGACTACTTTAGCATTATCCAGAATACACCACGTAAAGGTATATAGTCCGCCTAGCATCCCTTGGCAGAGATCAGGAGCCCACAGTTCGTCACTTCTGCGGTATTTAAAGACTCAAAACCCTCTCTGCGATGTGTGTTGTGTGTGTATGTGTATGTGTGTGTGATGTTACAAATATTCGTATTCACATTCGTGAATATTCTGATTTCAAAATATTCGCATTCGTATTCGTATTCGCAGAAAATATGCGAATGTTTTGCGAATATTATACTTAAGTAAAAGTTGGTCTCTTTAAAGGAAAAAATATATAAAATGTAAAAAAACTAGATAATTTAATAATTGAGCCTTGAGTTAAGATACTATTTAGGAGATTTACTGATATTGAATACTTTGCATAATCAATATGTACAAATTCTTTTGCGATTAGAAATTCAAAATCACGTATATATACGCGCACGTATCTCGTACACGCACGCACACACAACACACACAAGGCATAGAAGGTTTTGAGTCTTCAAAAAACCGCAGGAGTGACGAACTGTGGGCTCCTGATCTCTGCCGAGGGATGCTAGACGGACTACACCTTCACGTGGTGCATCCTGGATAATGCTAAAATAGTTCGTGATCTTTACATGCAAAATGTACTCACAATTCTGAAACATGGTTTTCCAATTATTAACTATTTATATATAAATAATATTTTTTACTACATTTAAGCCATTCTAGCAATGTTTCTACTATTCCTCGGACAAATAATTGTCATTTCCTCTTACCTGAAGATCTAAACAATGATTTTTCAACGTCTATTCACTTTGCACTTGAGGACGAAAATCGACACTTTTTTAACATCCTTCTTTCCCCAAATAATTTAGCAATGTAATATTGTTAATATAAAAATTCTTTTATATTAACAATAACAATAAGAAGAACTTGTATCCCAATTTTTAGCTAAAAATATTCAGATAAAAAATTATGATAAATTTAGAATATCTTATATAAAATTTTGGTTAAAAAACGTCATTCAAAAACTTTTTTACAAGAATTTTTTTTAATATTATGATAAGGTTTTAATGTATTAATATAAAGGATTAAAATTATTTTATTAAATATTTTATTAATATTAAATATTAATAAAAAACCACTCCTCAATGTTTAAAGTCGACCAGACTGGCAATAATTTATTATAAATAATTATTTGAAATACAACAACGTTTCGGCTGTCATTGCAGCCCTTTTCAAGTACATCAAATTTAAAACAGTAAATCAACTTCTATGCAAACTACCGACAATGTTAACGCTTGTTTTGATGAACAATGTAAGACTGACAGAAGTAAGCACATATTAAATAGATGTTAACTGTTCACAAGAATCTTAGTCACTCTGTGTGACTAAGATTCTTGTGAACAGTTAACATCTATTTAATATGTGCTTACTTCTGTCAGTCTTACATTGTTCATCAAAACAAGCGTTAACATTGTCGGTAGTTTGCATAGAAGTTGATTTACTGTTTTAAATTTGATGTACTTGAAAAGGGCTGCAATGACAGCCGAAACGTTGTTGTATTTCAAATAATTATTTATAATAAATTATTGCCAGTCTGGTCGACTTTAAACATTGAGGAGTGGTTTTTTATTAATTATTACTGGCAACCTTAAGGATTATTATTTATTAAATATTAAATATTAATTATTAAATAATTAAAAGAGTAGCTATTAACTTTTAAACATTTGTTAATTTTAATACAAATTTTTACCATATATAATGACATAGATAGAATGATGAATGTACAAGCATATTCTTTGCTTCTTTTTTACTTGCTAAAAATGTGAAAAATACATAATATTTTAACATATACTTTCATAACAAAATTTGTATAAATCTGTAAAAAGAGAATATAGAATTAGTTGTTATCCAGCCAATATCATACAACAGATCTCTATTTTTTATGATCTAATAACTTTTGATACTTTATAAAAGAATATTTAAAAATTGTTCGATTTTATTCGATTATATTAATTTTTATAATTATTATATCACATCAATTAAAATTTTAAATATTAAAAACAATGTTGATGACTCTCGAGATATCCATATCATATATACAGGGTGTCTCAGAATTGACGGAAAAGTTCTTAATGGCAGATTCTTGGTATCATTCGAAGACAATTTTTCCTCAGCGAAAATGTCAAGACACAAATAATTTTCGAATAAACAGTTGAAAATAAAGACTTTTTTTGGAAACTAAGCCTTGTGGAAATAAAATATTGACAGAACTACATTTTTCAATTAATTTTAGGTAGAGTTTACTTTAATACAATTTTAATATAAGGTTTAGTTATAAAGATACATAATAACAAAAATTGAGAACAAATGCTAAAAATGATGGCTTCCCTCAACATTTTCACTAAGAAAAAATCGTCTCCAAATGATACCAGGAATTTGTCATTAAAAACTTTTCCGCCAGTTCTGAAACACCCTGTATATATATATACATATATATATATATATATATATATATATGTATATATATATATATATGTATAATAGTTAAATCGGTCTAAGAGCCAACGTGCGCGAAAATTAATTCTTTTTCGCGGATTTTTAAACTTAATAAATTGTTAAGATTTAAAATTTTAAAGTTGCCTTATCTATTATCTTCTCGGAAAAAGAATACAATTGGAATACACGTAAAAGGTCTCTTTGTAACTAGAAAATTGCCGTATTTTTATTCTGTCGTTTTTGACAGATTTGTTTGTAACACTTTAGAGTATATGCATTATTAAATATCTGTATATAATTTATATTTATATTTTCTCTCTATATATATATATCTATTAATAATCTATGTATAGATATTTTTTGACTAATTTAAAATCGATATTTCTTCGACGAAAGTTTTTGTGGAAAAACAATATGATGGTTAATTCCAGTCCAAATCTCAATTGTTAGCTCTTCTACCAGTATTAAATAAATTTTAGTCTATTGCAAAATTAAATGCTAATTAAATGCTAATTAAACACTGAAGTTCTTAATTAAATGCTTAAATATTTTAGCAAAAAATTATATTGATGGATATTGAATTAACATTGAAATAATTCTCATTTGTACAAAATTCAAATATAATACTTGAGAAAATAAAGATATGAGAATTAATACAAATTAAGTGTTAAAATATATTGAAAATAAATATTTATAGTTTTTTAAAAATATCTTCACACAAAAATTAATTGTTCTATTATCTAATCTACAAGAGTTAAAAATATTAAATACTAATAACATAAGTATGATATTTTAAATCGGCCAATAGAGCCCAAAGCGTGAAAATTAAAGACCGAAAAGTGAAAGACGCGGATTCGATTCCCGCTTCAGCGACTTTTCGGACCTATATTTTTCTCGCCTATTTTTCCATATGGAAGTTCGAGGTTAATTAATATATGGAACTTTTAGTAATCTCGTACCAAGAGATACAGTTCCGAAAAATTAATTTTCGCGCTTTGGGCTCTATTGGCCGATTTAAAATATCATATTTATGTTATTAGTATTTAATATTGAGAGCCGACAAAAATATTTCTTATTAAAAATATTAAAAATTAAATGCTTTCATATTTAAAAAAACATTCATCCAAAAAATGTTATGCAAAAGGGCAAATAAATAAAGGTATTCGGTTTGCTGCTCCAATTGCTTGACGTAATGCTATTTAATCGTGACACTAAAATTTATCAAAATTAATTAACGCTTCTGATCACTAAAATTTATTAAAAAATAGAACAGCGCGTTTATAAATATGAAAAGAACATAAATAAAATGATTTTCCGTTAGATAATAAAAAAATATTTGGAAAAAAGGTGTTAACCTAACGCAATGGTATCTAAATCGGGATTTTTAAATTTCTAAAATTAATAAGCGAAATGAAATGGTGAGAAAGCAATAATGTGCAAATTTTTAATTTGTATAATTTTTTTGTAAACATTTATTTTTTAATTTCTACGCTAATGTGTTCATAATATTTTAAAATTTAAAATTTACAATTATAAGAAATTCACATTCCCCAAATTTACACCAAATTTAAAATAAATCATTCTTTAATAATATTTTATTTAGAATGTTCCGAATTAAAAATTTACATTTAAAATAAATTCAAAATTTAAAAAAAAATAAACCATTTTACAAATTTTCCACAAATTTAATATCGTTCTTTAATACTAATTTTATATAAGTTCGATTTATCAAAATTTACGAATGTTTAAGCATGTATATTTTTTTAAAATTAAAAATCTAATTATAAAAAATTCTTTTCATTAATCCTCGTTAAATTAAATACTAAACATTATTAATGATACTCTATTTATATAAAAATACTAATTTTTCGACCTGCGCTTTGCGCATGCTTCAAAGCTATATCTAACATTTTTTAAATATATATTTTTTTCGCGCGATCTATATATTGATAAGTACCGTCTGCCTGTCTGACCGCAAACTACTCCTTCATTAATGGACCGATTTTCTCGAAATTGGTATCAAAATACGATTTCAAATTTTTCGAGGTAAAAGCATTTAGCTTGATATATCAAAATTTACGAAAATTAAAAAATGCATATTTTTTAAAAATTATATAAAAATCGAAATTTTTTACTGATTATCGCAAAACTCAATACCATAAACATTATTTAATGATAATTTATTTACGTAAAAAAATTTACTCAGATATCTTAAAATTTATGGGAATTAGAGCAAGCTAAGACATTTCTTAAAAATTCATAATAAAAAAATGAATCCTTTCATTGATTTCCGTCAAATTAATACCAATCTTTTAATGCTAATCTATTTATATAAAAAAATTTATCCCGATATCTTAAAATTTACCACAGTTAGAATAATAGACATTTCTTAAAAAGTCAAAATTTTATTAAAAATAAAACATTATATGAGTTTTTATAAAAATGAGATTAAATAAGAGTCATTAGTATAATAGCACTGCTTTCGAATCAACATCTTGAAAATCACACTTGATAATTTGATTGACCTGAGGGTCGAAACCTTGTGTTTGTAATAATTTGTACTGGCCAGTTAGGTCGAAATATTGATAAACTTGTATGGAGTAAAACCAAACAAGTTTATATGAGTAAAACATCACTGGCGACTTCAATAAATTTATCGGTATCTAAATAAAAGTGTTGTACTATATTTTACTTGTATGCCAATTTGCCAATTTGGAGAGCTATATGTAAGTCAAATATATAGTTTTGATATTTAAATTTAAAATGGGCAATTTTTAATGTTATGTCAATATTCATCTAAATATAAATCTACCAAACAATTTCGCACACATACATATAATTTCGAACTTCGGCACTTAATTAACATTTAATTTATAAGTTCGAATTACTTTTTTTTGCTGATAGGAAAACTAATGTAAGATAATAATCAATACTGAAAATATAATTATCTCAACATAGAACGCGCTAATCTCTTTGTAATGATTTCAGGAAAATCTGTGATCCACACTTGACCGCATTCGAACCGGAAGCTCTAGGTAATTTAGTCGAAGGAATGGATTTCCACAAATTTTATTTTGATAATGGTAATTATAACTTGTTTTCACCACCGTTGTTAATTATCGCACGTGTTTGTCGCTCATTACATTAATTAATAGTGATGTATTTTAGCACGCAAATAACGTGCATATTTATTTATATGTATTGTTTACATGCCATTGTTCAGTCAATAATAAAAGGCATTGTGTATGCTTCAAGAAAGCAATTTTCAACAAGAACCTCTTTATTGTATCGATATAGTTAAGCTTGTCGATTCACAAAATTAAACGTTTATAGAACACTGATTACTTATTTATATTTTTGTAACTTTTGTTGATTTATATCTTATCGACAAGAATATATATTATAGTTTTGTATACATTATAGTTTTATACATGCTACTCTTACCTTAAGTTATAAGCTTATTACTTTATTATTTGATAAAAATATAATGCAGCAAATGAATATTATTTATAAAATATTTCTAAATGATTGCATGAATATTATTTTTGTCATTTTTATTATGTATAATTGCAAAAGTTATTCTAAACACGAACACAATTTTGCATGACTTATTTAATATTTGCTATAAATAGTATAATAAAGAGTAAAGAAAAAGATTGATTGGTGCATACATATTTACCGTCACGTAATGTTTAATTTAATTTTTTTTCAGTAATTCAGTATTTCATTGTTTTTCTTTAATTTATTGTATATATAATAGCATATTAAAATCAATTAAGCAAGTCCATTTCATAATTATTATCAAGAATTTTTTAGAAGCATGTTTCCATGTGGTATTATTCAGATTCGAAGACCCATTCTACAATACGTCGTATGTCGCAGTCGGATGTCGGAACGTAAGTGATTGTCTAATGAGAAAATTTCTTTTTCGAAAACAAAATTTCCGCATTGGACAATCGCTTACGTTCCGATATCCGACTGCGACATACGACGTATTGTAGAACGGGCCGAAAGCATTACATATTAATAGAACACTTGTATATTTCCAATATAATAATTTAAGTAAAAATTTTAATTTGTCTACGTACAGGAAATTAAGATTACTAAGCTTTCTTAATATCGATATTTAGCTATTGATTTATTTACACTTTTAATTTTTCTAATTTAATATTTATATCAATGTTTTTTATTATAGTATTAAAGATATTAAAATAGATATAATTTTGAAAAAAATATTAAATTTCTTATAGTTGTGAGGTACGGATATCAAACATTTGTGATATTCTATATTCTAAAATAGAGAAATATATAGGCTGATTAAGAGCCAAGCCCAGCAGTTAACTTTTCTCAAAAATAAAATGCATTAAATTTATTTATTAATTCATATATATTTCGGATTCTCCTTTCAATCATTTCCGCAACTAAAATACGTGTATTTGAAAAAATATATATCTTTATTATGTTTTTATTATTATGAAATGTGAAGATATGTGTATCCACACGATATCGCATTTATAGTTTCTTCTCAGAGTTATTTTGAAAACATTTAATTCATTTTATCTGAGATTAAATTTTCCAAGATTACAGAGTTTCTTAATAAAAAAGAAAATTAACTAAGTTTTTTTGATGTCACAATTATAAAAAAAAATATATTTTCAAAATTATTTTAGAATATTTTTCTTCTTCCCCCCTTTTCCCATCCCCTTCTTTCTCCCTCTCCTTTTCTTTTCTTTCTTCTACCCTCACCCTTCGTTTTTGTTTTTTGTGATATTTCAACGCTACAGTAAATTGTTTATGTCGTTTGTTATAAACGTTATATCATAAAGTCGAGTAACATTAATTTTGTTTTTCTTAAACATTTTAAGCAGTCCTTGGGAAGAACTGTAAAGCTGTCAATACTACCATCTTGAATCCTCACGTTCACCTGCTGGGTGAAGATGCCGCTTGCATCGCATATGTCAGGCTGACGCAGTACATAGACAAGTAAGTAGAAATCGTAAAAACGAACACAGCTTATAATATTCATATAGGGTGTCAATTTGAAAATCATCAGTCAAAATATCTTGGGATCTAGTAAAGATATCAAAACACAATTTGAAATGAATATTGGGCTCACAGGGGGACATAAAATCGCAGTATAACGATCAAAGGGTGAGCCATTCTTTACGCGCCCTTTACTTTAACTTTAAAATCTTAAATGGAATTACTCCCTTTGTGATACCTCAAATTAAAGGCGTAAACGAGTACTTTTTATCTGTACAAGAAAAATTCAATTCGATCGATTTGTTTTCGAATAATAACGGTTTAACTGAAAATGTTATTTTTTAAAGCTGTAAATAAGGCTCGTTTCATTTAATTTTTGCTTCTTCCCTTATAAAAATTTATTACTAGTAACGCCAATTGATCACTTATTTCGAGTACTTAAATTACTGTATATCAGTAATTTAAATACTCGAAATAAGTGATTAATTGGCGTTACTAGTGATAAATTTCTATAAGGGTTCTTTGTAATAAAATTATAATAATAAATATTATCTAGACAGTACACAATATTTATGATAAAGAATCATAAATATTTATGAATATATATTTTTCAAATATTGTACAAATATTTTGAAAATATTTTCTAAAAGCCTTTATTTAACATATTATTTAACATGTTATTAAAACATAGATTAAATGCTTTATATAATATTTATGGTATGTAAAGATAAATATTTATAGTAATTATTTTGTAAATATTTTTTAACTAAATTGTTAGTTCTTTTATTTACCGCTATGTGACGTATCTTTCTCGCATTTGATTTTTGTCGTGAGAATTATATAAAGCTGGCAAAAACGGAAATTAATAAAATTAAAAATATCATAAAATTATTTCTATTTTTGAGCTACATTCTGCAACAAAATGTCTTTTAACAAATAAATTTACGTATATATCGATGTGTACGTCAATTTATTTGTTAAACTACTCTGTTGCCTAATAGCGTTTTCGATTGGGGTGCACTGGCTGCACTGAATGTCAGGCGCGTGTTCGATTGGTAGTGCCAATGCGCACTTGACTAGTGTTGCGTGTTCGTTTGAACGCACAACACTCGCATAGTGCGCACTCAGTGCGCACTAAGTGGCACGAGATATTTTGACGGTGCCAGTTCAGTGCACTGGATGCATGCAAGCAGTAGGGCATTCTTTTGAACGAAAATTCGACATAATGAGCAATTCGGATTTGGCTCTCTTTAATATTTTGGAGACATTTTTGGAATCTTCTTCTAGTTCAAGCGAGCAAGAAGAAATAATTACAACTCTTCGAACTAGAAGAATAATTCCAAAAACTGTAAATTATGTAGAATGTGTGAAAAAAATGGATAATGACACCGTAAGTGTTATATCTTTTTATATAAACATCGAACCTATACCTTTTTTTAAAATATAATTAATGTACTTAATGTAATAGCATTTTTATACTGAATAATAATAATTTTTATATTTGTCATACGTGATATTCTTGATCATCTTCTATATTTAATTACATATAATAAAAATCATTACTTAACTGAACACAAGATGTCGAGGTTACTTTTTCGTTCTTCCCGGAATCTAGTCAACTCAAGTGGCACTGAAAATTTTGGCGTGTTCATTTTCACCTGCACTATTCAGTGCAACCCATGGAACTTGTCCAGTGTTCGTGTAAACTGAGTGCGCACTGGTGCGCACTAACTTTTTCCCAATCGAAAACGCTATAAGTATATTCAGTGTATATTATAATTTTATATTCTTCAATGCAAAAGGTTTCCGGATGGATGCCGCGTGGTTAAACAGCGTAATGCCGACGTTTCGCAAACGTTGCACTTTGCATCTTCAGGGCTGAGAGCTCCGACATTAAACTTTCTTGGGTTGTGGTCCTTATACATATATATTATGGGAGGTTTTTTATCTACGGAAAAGTATTCCGTTATGACGCCACCTAGTGGTGTGAGTGTATATTAAGGGCAGTGTGCCAAATAGAGTTTGTTTGATAACCTTTGTCGCGGTTGAGGTTGTCGGGATGTTTCAGAATTTCTAGGGCTTCACGATGTTTTCTGGCAAAATAGCTTTGCGAGGAGGCTAGTCTGGTTGCTTTGTCGTATTGAACCGAGTGGCCCGTTTCCATCCAATGTTCTGCCAAGTCTGATTGACTAAAATGGAACCCCATACAGCACCGATAGATTGCAAAAACATTACAATAATCTTTCACCGCAATATTGCAATATTACAAATTCACTGCAAAATGTTGCTACATCATTGCTGTTGAATTGCAGCAATGTTAAAATGTCCGCTTTTGGAAGATTGCAACAAAATATTACAACAATATTGTAATATGTTATGAGTTTGCAATAATGCATTGTTATTGCAACCATAAACTAATGTTGCATATACAGGTATATAAATGTAAATAAATCATTAATGAAAATACGTTGTAGTTAATTTATATATATTACAATATATAAATTATAGAATTTGGATTACATGCAATATTTCCGAAATATTAATGTCATGTTGCTACAAGTGTGCTGGAATTTTGTGCACTTATATCTCTGCAATGTCTTTATAATGTTGCATTGCAACTTGCAACATTGCAACGTTGCTGCAATATAATTGCAATAATCTGTGCTGTATGGGACATTTTGAAAATAAAGTCTTGAAAAACGCACCTCTCAAACTCTCTACATGGTTTCAATATGTTGATGACGTCTTTGTCATCTGGAGTCATGGCAGAGAAACGCTCCCTCAATTTCTCAGCTTTCTAAATTCTCAGCACCGCAGTGTTCAGTTCACAATGGAAATAGAACAGAATAATCAGCTCCCCTTTCTAGACGTGTTAGTTAAAAAGAACAAAGACGGTATCTTAGGCCATCGGGTTTATTGAAAACCAACACATACGGATCGTTACCTCCATGCCATCTCTTATCATCACCCGATTCAGAAAAATTCTGTCATCAGTTCATTAATATATAAAGCCTTAACAATTTCTGAACCAACTTCCCTGAATGAAGAATTAGAACATTTCAACCAAGTTTTGACCAAGAATGGGTACAATATCTATCGAACAACTGAAAGGCTGAAAAATAAAATCTCCAGTTCTACAAATATGAGTACATCAAGTGAAAAAGAAGGAGAAAAAGAAGATAAAAAATGGACGATCCTTCCGTATCTTCAGGGTACAACAGAACGTATTAGCAGGATCCTGGGTAAACACAACATCAAAGTAATTTCCAAACCTCAAAATAAGATTGCACAACTACTTCCTAATCCCAAGGACCGGAGACCACACTTAGAAACACCAGGTGTATACAGGATTCTTTGCTTCTGCGGAAAAGTGTACATAGGAGAAACTGGGAGAAAGATCAGTACATGAATTAAGGAACACCAACGGAATGCCAGGTACTGCCATTTTAGTCAATTAGCCTTGGCAGAACATTGGATGGAGACATTCGGTGCAATACGACAAAGCAACCAGACTAGCTTCCTCGAAAAGCAATTCGCCAGGAAACATCGTGAAGCCCTATAGAAATTCTGAAACATCCCGACAACTTCAACCGCGACAAAGGTTATCAAACAAACCCTATTTGGCACACTGTCCTTATACACTCACACCACTAGGTGGCGTCATAACGGAATACTTTTCCGTAGATAAAAAACCTCCCATAATATATATAAGGACCACAACCCAAGAAGGCTCAATATCGAAGCTCTCAGCCCTAAAAATGCAAACTGCACCGTTTGCGAAACGTTGGCATTACGCTGTTCAATCACGCGGCATCCATCCGGAAGCCTTTTGCATTGATGATTTCAATGGCCGCGAAAGTTTCAAAACTAGAATTTTATTTTCTATTTTAAAATAAAGGTTACTTATAAACTTTTTTTTACACATTTTAACTTTTTATAAATGGCTAATAGAGTTTAAAAACACAAAAACATTTAATTAACCAAATTTTAGATTAGACTATATTAACTAATCGTTTTGATTAAAAATCGTTGATTATATTTTCTTAACTTATGATTTTTTACTGAATATTTATTAAAGAAAATATAAATTTTTAAAAATCTGTATTATAATGATTTAATAAATATATTTATAATATTTACCATATTTATCGTAAATATATTCTGATATTTATGATAAATATGTATGATCTATTGAATCTAAGACTCCAAAATCATTTATAAAATATTTATGTGATAAATATTTATAAAATATTAAAATAATTATTACAAATATTCTATAAATATTTTCTAAATATTCTGTGCTGTCTAGGTTCGCCAATAATTTTTCTTATTTATGATATTTTTTGGTTGTGGAATTTTTAGTACTTTTCTCGTATTCGCCGCTAAAATTTTTTTAGAAATCATTTTTACATTACTGCGCCAAAGGTATCAGAATCTTGCTGATATTTTGTAATATTCTAACTATATTATATCCAGGGAGAGATTGTGCAGATTTCGGAAGAAAACATGTCTGTTTCGCACAGGTTTCCATCCATAAAACGCCTGCAAAGTCCCCCTTCACTGTAATTTGTCAGTGCCAGCAACGAGTGTCATCAGGCCCGCAAAACATTGAACTGCCAATATTGGATGTTGCGACTTTTAAAAATGTTCTCTTTCATACTAACAATAAGTAGAGTTCTATAATCTTAGAACATATATACTTGGATAAAGAATTGCTCTATTTTAAAAAATATTTGTATCTAAGTTGAATGCGGGAGAGAAAGATGGCTTGTAACCTTTGCTCGCAAACGCGGATGACGTCACGCTTATCGCTCCGTGTAAAAATGGAATTGTAATTTTTAATTGCAATACAATTGATGATAATAGAATAGGTTATAATTAATGTCAGGCAGTATACATACAGTGACAAATAATTTTGCATACTGATGTCACCAATATCTCCTAACTCCATTGAACTATATATTATATTGGAACGCGCACGCCTGTTCTGATTGGCGGTCGGTATTGTGGGACTGCGATAGTTGAATTGGGACGATGCTGTTCTTGTTTAACTATGTTGATCACGTGACCTGATGTATTACAATGATAGTTTTCAGAAAAAAGAGATAGCTTCGTCTCAATTCAACCACAGTTTAGCTATAACCAGTTACGACATAAGCGTCGGAACCTTTGATGTTCGTGTTTCTCAGTCACGTGGCTATGCGCCATGTTCTTGATAGCGCGTTATTCAAAGATATAGAATACCAAAATGATGATTTAATAATTTTTTAGGTACTCATACGTACTCTATAATAATGAAATCGTCATTTATAAATAACATTACAAATAGTCTTAAATCTTTAAAAAATCTTAACATATGATGATATAAATAAAACTGGATTTTGTCCAAATATGTTTTTATACATAACACAAGAAAATTTCATTATGGCTTGAAAATTATTTCTTGAAAAAATACAAATGATCTTTACTAATTTATCTAAAACAAGAAACGCAGGTTAGATACACGCGTCATATGTGGGCACCGCCATTTTGATGGTACAGTTGACGCATGCGCCCTCAAATATTGTACGCAAAATTTCACTGACTGTCGTAACTGGTTATAGCTAAACCACAGTATAAGTATACGCAGTAGCGACAGTGAGCCATCCGACCCGGTATCAAATTTTAATGCGCATACGCGAGTTCGTACATCTAACAATATGGCTGCGCCAATGTCACATCAGGTAACCTTTAATTCTATAGCTTTATGTTTTTTATGATTAGAATACGTATATTTGAATCATGGCGGCCGTACATCTAACAACATGGCGGCATACCACGTGACTTGAGACTATCTACATAAAAAATGCCGACACTCACTGTCGCTACTGTGTATACTTATACTGTGGCTAAACTGTGATTCAACTATTTCTTTTTGGCCGCAGTAGCCATGGAGGGAATATGGCCGTGCGCGCTCCGGTATGATGTATATAGTTCAATGCCTAAAGCGGGGAGCATACACTTTTGCATAAGCGCATAAGCATATGCATAAGAAATTCGATTAGTTGAATTTCTTATGCATACATTTATAGACTAATCAAGATTATTATGCTTACGCTTGTGCGCCTATGCAAAAGTGTGTGCTCCCCGCTTAAGCCTATAATCTTCTATAAGCGCTGCTTTCGCTAATTCGCGTTTGCGCATTGCAGATGAAGGTAACAATCTACACAGAGAGAAGTTTCTTTCAGAATTTATCCTGAAAATCATGGTAATCATGAGACAATGTAATATTGGAAGAATTTTATAAGAGTTGCTCTGATTAATATTTGTCACAATAAAAAATAATAATATCTACACAATAAGATAGAAGATACCCAGCAAACACCAAGTAATATACCAAGTAATAACAATTATATAACTGTTAGTTATAATTTTCTATGCAACAATGTAAATGTAATATAACACGTGTTATATTGCATTTACATTGTTTTATTATGTAAATGCAATATATGTAACACGTGTTATTTGTGTTATTACATTTTACTATGTACAGAATAAAATTAATCGAACATACCCAGCAAACATCAAGTAACAATTATATAACTGTTACCCAGGTAGCAAGCTGACGTCATTAAACGTTAAAATGACATTATCAACGTTAAAAGGACGTCATTTATGATATTAAATATGATAATGATATTAAAAGAATTTTATAAAAGTTTCTTTAATTAACATTTATCATAATAAAAAGTATTAATATGTACATAGTGAATTTTACTATGTACAGGATAAATTTAATCGAACATACGCAGCAAACACCAAGTAACAATTATATAACACGTGTTATATTGCATTTACATTGTTGAATGGGAAATTATAACTACCTAGGTAGCAAGCTGACGTCATTAAACGTCAAAATGACGTCCTTTTGACGTTGATGATGTCATTTTGGCCTATAACATCGACGAAGTACTATTAAAGATCGACGACCTTACGGGAGTTTGTGTCGCCTACTAATGAGGCCTGTCGGTATGGTGTCGATAACTATTAAACTCTTATTTTATATATAATATATATAAATACTTATAGGTATATATATATATATATATATATTTAATTATTAATTATGTTGAATATATAAACTATATAATTATAATTTGCAATATAGTAGAACGAATAAAATGTTCTTATTAGTTATTTATTGTCATGATTATCGATCGATGTCGGGCCCATCGGGCCTATTTGATAGAGACAGAAATTTACCCACGGCCGACAGTTTTTAACAGTACCTTGTCAGTGCCTATATTCAGAGATGCACCAGGTTCGAACCATTGACATCAGAATATAATAGACAGAGATGGAGCATTAGTTATCAATTAGGACGAGGAGGGTGATTTTTGCGGTAAGGAGGTACTCTATGAACTTCGGTTAAATTCGATTACGCTCGATAATGTTAGACTAATATATAGAGGAGAGGAGCAACTGATTCTGATGGTAAGGGGAGAGTTAATGAACTTCGGTACACTTCGGTCAGTTCCGTCAACGTGGAACCAATCTCGGAACTTCAGAAGTTCATATACTCCCTCCTAACGCAAAAATCACTTGCCCCTCTCAAAAGGCTATGTTCTATATATTCAGATGTCAATGAGATCCGAATAGTTTTTGATTGGCTCTTGAACTCACATGGTTTTTTTGCTATCATCTAATCATTGCAAGCGCGCGTAAACACAAATATCACTTGGTACAAAGCACGATTGTGCAAGGTGCAGATTGGTATTGTGAAAAGATAATTGATCTTGAGAAAATTAATTTTCGAGCACAATTTTGATATTTTAGTGACAGATTACACTAATCAACACTATTTTTGTCACAAAAGGAATGACAAAATAAGATTTAAATAAGATTTTTCTCGTAGATTACGAATCTAAAATCCAAAATGTTCACGTCACATTTAAAAAAAAATGTTTTTAGTATTATTTGAACTTCTGTCACAAAGAAACGGGACGTGATAGAATATTTTGTGAGCTCAAGTTAAAACTTGAACCTTAAATTTTAATGTTATGAAGTAAAGAAACATGTGACAATACTTATTGGGTGCTTTTCAGCAAGCAACACAGGCGACACAAAGTCACACTGTGTGCGACACAAGTGCTTTTCTACTATTACCCAATATAACACCACCTTACTCAGCTCTTTAGCTAAGTCGCTTTGTGCTCAATTGTGTTACACTAGTGTTACACAGTGTCTATCTGTGTCTTTCTTGCTGAAAAGCACCCATTATGAAGTCGTGTAGCATAGGTTTTTTGACTGGGCGCGCGTTAATATTAATCTTGCGTTTGATAACAAAAATATATAAGAACAAAAAATTAAAAATGAGTGTTTCGACGAAATTTTTAATTTTTCGTTCTTAAACCCATAAAAATGGCAGATTAATACAAAATAGGAACAAAAAATTAAAAATTTCGGCGAAACATTCATTTTTAATTTTTTGTTCCTATTTTGTATTAATCTGCCATTTTTATTCTGAATTTGGATATTAAACTCGAAATCAACAATGCGGAAATCCCCCAAAAAGCATTTTCGTTTACACTTTGACTAGTTTTGATTTGACTAGTTTGTTTTGTTGTCAAATGCGAGATCAAAATTGGCGCGCGCTGAATCCAAAAACCTGTGCTACACGACTTCACAGTCACAGTATTGTTACATGCATTTTTTCTTCATAATATTAAAGTTTAAGATTTAAGCTTTAATCTGAGCCTTCATAAAATATTCTGTCATGTTCCGTTTCTTTATGACAAAGGTTTAAAAAATGCCAAAAACGAGTTTTTCTAACCTTTTGACCTCGTTTTTCTCAAAAACGTAACGTAATGGAACATTTTAGATTTCAGACTTGTAATATACAGGAAAAATTCAATCGAAATAACCTGTCATTTCATTTGCGATGACATTAAAAAAGATTAAAAAATGTTGACCAGTGTTATTCTTCTATATTCCACTTATATGTGGATAATTTATTTTTTAACAATATTATTCAAATTCTGAAAGGAGTGAGACAAAATATGCTTGTCTCATTCTAACTTATTATAGTATGTACTAGTTCATCAGTGCGGGAATAAAACAAGTCTATTGTGCGCTCCACTGCTTCGCTTGTTAATCTGTATTCTGCTTCATAGTTACAAGATGACGACTGTCGGGAAGGAGTGAAAAGAAGCAACAATATTATTCAAATTCTGAAAGGAGTGAGACAAAATATGCTTGTCTCATTCTAACTTATTATAGTATGTACTAGTTCATCAGTGCGGGAATAAAACAAGTCTATTGTGCGCTCCACTGCTTCGCTTGTTAATCTGTCTTCTGCTTCATAGTTACAAGATGACGACTGTCGGGAAGGAGTGAAAAGAAGCAACATCTCTAATTATAGGACTCTAATACTCTAAGATTCTAAGTAATGCGCCAATCTCTTTCCGCACTTTGCCTATGCACAGACGACTGCACGATTTCTCCCTGGATACAGTACATTCCCAGCAAACACCAATATATAATTGTTACATTGCTATAATAAAACGGAATATAACAGGTAATATAACGTGTACGTTACATGTAACATCCATGTTAGTTGTAATTTCTCACTCATAGATGTAACATTTTAATATAACATATATTACATTGTAGTTATATTGTAATTATATACCAAATAGCACATTGATGTATTGATAAGTCAGTGCTATCTTGGGATATAATGACAATATAACTACAATGTAATATATGTAATATTAAAAATGTTATATCTATGAGTGGGAAATTACAACTAACATATACGTTACATGTAACATGCTTAAGTATATAACATTTATATATTGTGTTTGCTGGGTTCTATAATATTTTTGTGCTGTGTAATTAAAACGTTCTATTAATACTAATTTTGTACATTTTCTCTACTTTTACTCGCAGACAAGGCATCGCACATACTCAGCAGAGTGAAGAGAGCCGTGTATGGCACAAGAGAGACAACAAGTGGCAGAATGTGCATTTTCATCGAAGCGCAGTGACGGGTCCGTCGCCATTTTCTTTCAATCACAAATAGATCGGCTAAGAGGACTGTCCCTGCTACCGCTCTCAGTGGACGCTTTTTGTCACCATAGAAAGCGAATTAATGAACGTTAGGAATACGGAGCACATATTCGGGCGTTCTTATACACACTTACATACACACACATACATACACACATACACACGCGCGCGCGCACGCATATAAATACACAGATGCGTATGCATATACACAAAAAGAGATATGTATATGAAAAAAGTTACATTACAAACAACGATGTAACATTCGAAAAAGAGGATAATATGCATATAAAACACACACATATACACATACATATACACGCACAATATACATAACACACTTACTTAAAAGTAGTACTAAGCGCGACAAACCGAAGCTGAAATATATGTCGTAACTGCCGGCATGTATTACTCGCTCCAGTACCTGTTCAGCGTACTTATTATCTACTTACTTATATTTATGCGTGCACTGCGCTACGTGTGCCTCAAAGCCTTGAGAAAAACTACACGCAAAAGCGAGATCAACTGAAACGTCAAAGTCGAGATCAAAATCAGTTGAAAACGCAAGTTGAAAGAGCGGAATCGATCGATCATCTAATGAGATTGTAAGGTAAATAGACATGCTTTTTGACTGTCAGTTGACAGAATTTGCAGCTGAGAGAGAGAGAGAGAGGGGGGGGGGGGAATAAAAGGAAAATTTTGTTGCATATTTTTAATCGTTTATGTTCCAGTGTCTGCTTTTTTTCGTGATAGCAAATTTTTCTTTGATTTTTGAAGACAAGACTGTTTTGGTTAAGAGCAAAAGCGATTATTGCATTAATAAATATTAAAGAGAACAAATAAATTCTAGATGAAATATGTTAAATAAAATATCATGCGAGATTAATGTGAAAATGGAATCGCGAAAACAAGCACTTGCGTTGATAATATGTATCAACATCGTAATAGAACAGAAACCAAAAAAAGTAGCTGATAAAATGGAGCCGAAAGTCACGAAATTACACAATTTTATGCTCATTGGAACATCGAAGTTTTACTAATCGGCGAGATTAGAAACTAGTTTGAATATTGAAGATCAAAATTACATATTGTGAATAACTAAAAATTATCACGACCTATCGACGGAGAAAAAAAAACGTAATGCGATCGTAGCTATTTTAATAAGCAAAATTAGATAAGACATCGAGCACGTTTATACATTTCGCGACCAATTCACAAAGCAAATAGTTGCAAAATATTTTCGGAAAGACTACCCAATATAGAAAGTGAGATGTTATAATATCTTCTTACTGTAGTAGAGAAGATGATAAAACAAATTGTACACGAAAGCCATAGCAAAGGGAAATTTGGCAAAGATAGGATTAAGTTGAATCGAATTCTAGACATCTATGGATTCAGTCATCATGACAGACTTAGAAAAGGATGAAGAAGGAGAAGGCAACGAAGTGCCGACGCAGAGAGAAGATAAAGAACAGAAAAAACAGAAGTGACGTGATGTGCAAGGAGGTAGCAAATTGGAATCGCGGTTGAGAAGTTCGTGGCAAGCGATGAGAATAAAAGTACCGCCATGTTGATGTAGCCACTACAACGCAGTAAAAAAATTCTTCCAGGCAATTTCATTCTTCGATTTTTACTCTCGTTTTTCGTAACAGAGAGCAACGAGCTGCATCTATGCACGTGCACGCTTGCATACCAAAATATTACTGCTCCTGCAGCGAGATAGGAAACATCGATTAATTTTGGGGCGTTATCTCGTTTTTACATCATTAATAATAAGACTAAATGAGATTAAAATTTTTAAACAGTTAAGTTTGCGTATACTTCCGATGTGTTTTTTATACTCGATCTCTTCAAGAAATATTTAGAATATGGAATGAGCATTTTGTAATAAAATGAGATAAAGTTGCGACATAACTTAGAAAAAGAGAAAAAAAAGAGATACAGTATAAAAGAAACAGTATTCGCCACGCGTGGATAAACTTATAATATTTCTTATAGGTAAATCTTATCTAACAATGCGCAAGAAAGTCCTTCGAGCTTCGTATTTAATCTATGTAGTTGTAAGTTTGAGGTGTTATAAACTTCTACGAGATTAATTCTACGTTTTTTATCACGATTAGCAATGATGTTCGTGATATTATATATATATATACGACCAAGCAACTACAATTTGATATCAAATCTTTCATAATGTTGCTTTTGAATAACGAATATTATTGTGACTATAAATAGTAAATTTATAGCCAGCTTACATACTGTAAGACAGTTGCGATATATATACTGCGTTCACAAAAAGAACGATCACTCTCCGTGCAACTTTGGACAGAGTGGGAATTAGGTGGGAGAAAATTCGAGTGCAACTACTTAATGTGTTACTATCGTATTTTTTGGACTTGGCACATAATTTACTCTGCCATGAAGAATAGAAATAAGGAGACCAAACTATGTGTTTGAGATGTGCGATTCAAACCGAGACCCGGTAATAGTACCTATAGAGACTTATAAGTGGCATTGTAATCACAAGGTGCCCTGTTTCAACTAATACAAAAGTCCATGCACCGTCTACGTGTAGAGAGAAGTTATGTGTATGTGTGAGGCCGAATTCATACCTTGACAGAAAAACAGAAACCAATCAGAATCGCGTTGATAGTAAGCTTATTATAGGTAGTCAACTTGGTAGTAGTAAACTTACTAACCAACGCGAGTTCTGATTGGCTTTTCTGTCAAGGTGTGAATTCGACCTGAGTCCCGTGAGACAAAAGCGCAACCTTGCGGAGCTTGATAAACTACATGTAGGCTTGACATTCAGTCGCACATTTCGAAGACCCGTACGGAGACCCGACGCATACACACACAAAAACACGTACACGTCGTAATTAACAATTTTTACCAGTTGATGGCCGTTTTACGTGGATGCGTACAGGTGCCACACAATACAAAGAAGAAGAAGAAGTCGCACATTTCGATAATTTCTCCATGCTAGTTCGGTCTCCTTATCTCTATTTTTCATGCTCTCTGCAAATAAATTGCGCGCGGGCTTTCTCTGCGGTTTTCTCTTGGATCTGGCTTGCAGAATCCGTTTGGCAGCGTAGAGAGAGAAAAATGAATAGTCGCAATCAGTCGGGATCTATCCGCGAACCGGACGAAATGCGTGATCGTTCTCTTTGTGAACGCAGTATATAATAGGTTATATCTCGCTGCGGGAAATATTTTTTCGCCGCGCGCGCGCGCACGCACACATGTAAACACACACACGCACGCGCACACACATTCACACACGCACACACATATCGATGCGCGAATACCAATTGCAAAACATAACGTACAATTGCCTAGAGAGAGAAGCGATTGCGCGTTTTAACCTCATTTTTACCTCATTGTCAAATTGGTAAAATTAGCGGTGATGTGCACTCGCACGCACGCACGCACGCACACACACACACACACACACACACACACACACACACACACACACACACACACACACACACACACACACACACACACACACACACACACACACACACACACACACGCACACGCACGCACGCACACGCACACACGCACACACGCACACGCACGCACGCACGCACGCACGCACGCACGCACGCACGCACGCACGCACGCACGCACGCACGCACGCACGCACGCACGCACGCACGCACGCACGCACGCACGCACGCACGCACGCACGCACACACGCACGCACGCACACACACACACACACACACACACACACACACACAAACAAACACACACACACACACACACACACACACTTAGCTAATTTAAATAAGCGCTGCCGCAAACTCATATGATGGTCGAACACACAAAAATCAAGATACACACACATCATACAGTTATAATCGATTTTGCAGATATAATTGTTTTTATCCTGCTTTTTTAATTAAACATCATAATTTTACTTATCTGAGATATATAATATATACTATATCTTAAAGTACATGTAGGTAAACACACAATTAATATATGAATGATGAAATATCATAAAGCAAAATCTCTCAAAATCAGCAATAAAAAGAGGGATAAAAGAAAAAACTCGATAAAACCGATCAAACGCATTGATAATTTATGCTTTCTCTCTCTCACTCTCTCTCTCTCTCTGTCTCTCCCTCCCCCTCTTTCTCGCCCCCCTCCTCTCTCTCTCCCTCCCTCTTTCTCTCCCTCCCTCTCTCTCTTTGCATTATTAATGTTATATATATGAGCATATATTTATTAACTTACTTGAAGAACGTAAAGAGAAAAATGATATGTAAACATCAAAGACACAAGTCGCGATGCAACGAGTGGATTTATTCACTGCGAAATTAGAAGTTAAATAGATCTTTACCTCAGATAATCGCGAAAATCCAAACGTTTTCTGAATTTCTTCATTAATATAACGAATCTTTCTATACCATTCGTACATTCTCTATTACTATTATAACATATGCGTAATAATAATGTAATTTTGATGAATGAATGGAAACGAAGAATCTCTCCTGCGAGCAATCAGGAAGAAATTTTGCCATCTTGTTATCGCACACTTACACACATACATACACATACACACATACATATAAACATATTTATATATATGATATCCTAAAATCACCGGATGTTCTTTTAATAACAGTTTTTCTGGCGAATTTGATGACAATTTTTCTCAGAGAAAATGTATATATAATTTTGAATTATAGACGATTGAAAAAGAAAAGTTTTTCATAAACTAAAATTTGTAAACTAAACTTTACAGAGTCAAAAAATTAATACATCTTTTTTGTTAATTACAGATGGAATCTACTTTAATAATTTTATAAAAATTAATTTATTAAAAATTTAAATTTAAGGCTTAAAGTCACAATGATATATGTAATGGCAAAAACTGAGAATTAATAAAAAATGATGATCTTTCTGCACATTTTTGCTGAAAAAAATCGTCTAGAAATTAGCCAGAAGATCTGTTAAAAGATAGCTTTTTCATACTGACGCCCGATGCTCATTTTTAGCGTCAAGAAACGTCATATGACCAAACATAAATTGATATCTTTAGTTTTTAAGTATATCTTTATTAAGTCGATAGGAGTGATAGTGTAAACTCCGAATTGATCTTGGAAACCTTGCGCGATGACAATGCGAATCTCTGGCTTCAAGGTTACCAATGTCGAGAATAAAATTCTCAGTCTCTATGTTAGGTGTATGTTCATACACGTATGAACTTTATTGCATTGCTCGCATGGACGCATCGTAAAGAGGAAGAATAGAAAAGAATT